ACCAGGATTTGGAAAATATTATTTATTTCTGTAACAGGATAACAATATATTTTGGATGGAGGGGACTTCTGGAGGAAATTATGTTTCTGAGCAATAGTGCCGGCTTGTTGAAAGTCATTATAGAAAGCATATTGGTAATTTAAACTTACCATAATTTTCTACCTGGTTTCTCAAATGGTTCTGTGGATTTAGAACCAATATTTGATGGGAGGGAAGAATTCCCAACATCAAAATCCTAGGATTTGTCAGGACACTAGAAAAGAAGCGTTGTCACTGCAAAATAACTTCCTTAGCAGGGTATAATAGAGAATGTAAAACAGCAGGTCACCTCCATTGTTGTTGTGTGGTTCCGTGAAGTTCTATTCATCAACTGAAACACAACTTAAATAATTCAGGTTAGCTTTGATACGCTGGGGAACCATACAGTGGTCAGCTTCTTTGGAGCAAAGCTGTCTTGCAGTCTGCGGAGCTTGTGATCTATGCAGCCTCCACATTCAAGCAAGGTTGAAGGGACTGCCGTTGAAGCATGGATCACTCCAGCTCTGTCCATACACATGGACCCCTCCTCTGTTGGCTTCTTCTACTGCAGTAAAAAACAAGTAAGCACTGAATCATTAACTGACAAAGGAAAGATGAAACAGCAGGGCACTGAGATACTAGAGATAAAACCTTCTTGGCATAGGCACAAAGTTAGCTGCTTAATGTAGTTGTGAGATAATAAATATCTACGAAGAGCTGGCCATTTGTCAGTTTACTTGATTAAAAGTGATAATAAGAAATTTTAATTCTGTTTACTAAAAGTAACTGATACTTATTTGGGGCCAGGAACTATATAAAGCACTTATGTTAACTGTTTCAGTTAATCCGCTGGACAATCCCATGACATAGGTATCTTCCTCACTACAGAAAACAATTGAGGCAAAGAGTTTAACTTGTTTAAAATCTCACAGATATTAAGTGATGAAGCTGGAATTTTAAAAGCCAGGAACTCAACTTTAGAAACCATGTTCTTAGTATTTTCTATCCTTTCATAGAGAGCCTACCCTTTTTCTCACAGATACTAAGTGAAGCTGGAATTTTAAAAGCCAGGAATTCTAACTTCAGAAACCATGTTCTTAATATTTTCTATCCTTTCAGACAGCTTACCCTTTTCCTCCCAGAATTTAGCTTTTTCCTTTCTTTACTGTTACTTCACCAGGAGGCCATCTTCTTTAATAACTTCTTTAAAAGTCTAGTAGATAACTGTAACTTTGAATGCTACGTATGTCATCATGCAATCTTAAGAGTAGAATGACTTTACCATTTTAAAAGTCCTATGAATAATCTGACAAAAATAACCTACCCGGGCTTCCCTGGTGGCACAGTGGTTGAGAGTCCACCTGCCGATGCAGGGGACACGGGTTCATGCTCCGGTCTGGGAAGATCCCACATGCCGCGGAGCGGCTGGGCCTGTGAGCCATGACCGCTGAGCCTGTGCGTCCGGAGCCCGTGCGTCCGGAGCCTGTGCTCCGCAGCGGGAGAGGTCACAACAGTGAGAGGCCCGCGTACCGCAAAAATAAATAAATAAATAAATAAAAATTTAAAAATAACCTACCCTATGCTTTAATGTAATAGATTGATTAGAAAAGAAGTTCTACTTAAGACAAATTAGAAAAATGTAGAACTGAGTTCAGTTTTCTTTTCCACTCTGAAAGACACAACAGATAATGTTTACTTCTGGATAAAACTGCACAACCATTAGCAATCCAAATCTTCCATTTTCAGTTGGATCCTCAGAGCTGAACATCCAAACTTCTACTTTTTTCCCCTTTTCTCTCAATTGCAAATCTAAGCCATTTCTACATTCCATGGGACTTAATTCCCATTCCTCCATCTCTTCAGACAATCTTGCTTCCTAAGTCACAGAAGAAAGTGAGGCCACCAGGCCTGAAATCCACAAATTCTCTGCCTCTAGACCAATAAATTTATCCACATATGCATCCATCCTTTCAATCCTCCTTCAGAAGATAAAGTCTCCTCTCCTTCTGGTCCAAATCAAATTCTCTGTGCTCTTGGTTCCATCCTCTTCCATCTCTTCAAGGAAGTTGAACTATTAATTTTCCATTCTATCTCTTGTGTTGTGGTAGATTTGTCAAATACATTGCTGCCATGCCCACAGCCTCTTATAAGGGAAGGGAAACCACCCAGTCTTTGCAAAGGGGCAGCCACGTTTTGTACCATACAAATTCTTGTGTACTAACTGATTGGACAAGGTGGGCATCTACTTCAAAGGGCAGCCAATTTACAGACTGGTAGAGAATTAATACATGGCCTGGTATGAAAACTTTTCAAAGGTGCTCACTGCTTTAAAAATGAGAGACCCATTTTAAGTGAGATGAGTGGATTTTTATTATTAGAAAAGTTATGAAATGATCTTTGATGCATGTCTTGCCTGTGAAAGTCATTCACTTTAAGGTGGAAGTAAGTTTACACTGTATGGTTGCTAGAGACCTAAGCATCTCAGTACAGAAATAATAACAACATTGAACATTATGATAAAAATATCACTCATAGGGCTTCCCTGGTGGTGCAGTTGTTAGGGGTCCGCCTGCCGATGCAGGGGCGTGGGTTCGTGCCCCGGTCCAGGAGGATCCCATGTGCCGCGGAGCGGCTGGGCCCGTGGGCCATGGCCGCTGGGCCTGCGCGTCCGGAGCCTGTGCTCCGCAACGGGAGAGGCCACAGCGGTGAGAGGCCCGCGTACCGCAAAAAAAAAAATCACTCATAGCAGCCTATTATACTGGGTTTAATCATCTCTGACTCTCACAAAAATCCTGCAATGTAGGTTCTAATATGCCTATTTTCAGGTAAGGAAACCAAGGCTCAGAGAACTTGGGTAGGTTTCTGAGGTTAATGTGTCACTGAGCTGTAGTCTGGATCCAAAGCTTATGAGCTCTTTGTCCTTTTTATGCTGCTTTTTCCTAGCCAAAAACATGAAGGCATTGATTAATTTTATCATTTGTCATCTTGGCTTGACACCAAAGATGATCAGAGTTGGCTTACATAAGTATATAACCAGCATAAATTAATGAGTAATTAGAGGAAGAAAAATAAAATCAAGCTAGGGGCAAATTTAGTGTTTTGTAAATATTTAGGCAGGGTCTCTAAAGATTGTTTCATTAGGAAGGAGTGATGCCATTAGGAAGACTTGGTAGCTCCTGAGGACTCAAAAGATTGGGCATGAGAGGTGATCATTATTAAATACATATACTAAGTAAAATATAGTGAGACGCATCTAGCACAAATGCTTGCTGAATGAAGTTAGAAATATTACCAAGCACCTCAGCCTATAAAATATAAGGTTAGGAAGTCCATAAAGGGGGTGGGAGGGACAAATTGGGAGATTGGGATTGACATATACACACTACTACACTGTATATATAATACATAACTAATAAGGACCTATTGTGTAGCACAGGGAACTCTACCCAGTACTCTAATGGCCTATATGGGAAAAAAAATCTAAAGGAGTGGATATAAGTATATGTATAACTGCATCACTGTGCTGTACACCTGAAACTAAAACAACATTGTACATCAACTCTACTCCAATAAAAATTTTTTAAAAAAGGAAGTTCATACAGAGTAGATATTCAATAAATATTAATTTGAGCAAAGTTCTGTGACAATATCACTGACCATGACTATTCAGGCATTGACATTCCACAAAATGGCATACCAAAAAAGAACATATTCTAAAGATGGTTACCTGCCACAGAACAGCTTAAAATTTGCAGCATTCAAGTCGGAATCTATTCTTGATTTTACACCATTTTCTTCACTGGGTTAACATTAAGAGGTATACCTCTCTGGACCGGAGGGGCACTTTTAAGGAGAAAAGGAGTAAACGTGGAGGCGGACTTACCAAGAGCAATTTAATGGTGTCTTTGAAGGAAAAGCTGCACTTATAAAAACATGGCCCAAACTTCCTTCAATCTGGATCACCGTATGACTTAATACTTATTCTTTTTCCAGCTGGCATATGAACTAGGGTTCAAGTGGAGAAACCAAGGTATTCTTCAGATTTATGATTTGGGGGGAGCAATAACCTACGAAAAAACGTTGGGGTTGATTTGAATATGTCATTACGTGGGAGGAGAGTTTGGACTCGGAGTGGCGGTAAATACACATCTTGTTTGCTTCACACAGATCAGCTCATACTTATAATGGAGTAAATCTGTTGGGCCACGATTCAATGCCCCCGTTAGCAGGATTGCTGTCTCTACTGTCTAAGCCCTCGGTATCAACAAGCACAGTTCTTCTGGGGTGCTGTCCCCCTGATGTCAGCTTTGCTGGTCCAGGTCAAAATACTACCAAACGCTAAGGAATTAAATTTCCTGGAGAACTGAGCCTCTTTCCAGGTTCGCCTCTGCCTTAATGTATAGCGATTAATTTCAAACTGTAATGGAGGAGTAAACCTTGGGCTCCAGGAGGCATGCTGGGCCCGGGCCCTGGGGTTTGCATTTTCAGTCACCGCCTCAGGTGGATTTGATGCAGCTGGTGCAAAATACATTTTGAAAAACAGAGTAGAATGGGGTATGGATGATGATACAGAAGTCAGCTCTTAAAAGATGTCCTGTTTTGGCAGCTTTGGAGACTTAAGGCTGAGTCCCGGCTTATTCACACCCAAGAGAATTTAAACAGGAGTCGTTAAGTCAGTCCCTGAGGCGCCGACAGCTACAAGGAAACTCGCCCACGCTCGGGGGTGCAGGCGACGCCGGCTCCACCTAAGCCACAGGTCTCCGAAGCGCCTCGAGGATTTCTACCGGCTTCACCCGAGCCACAGGGCCACTGGGCTCCTCCGAGCGTCCAGCCCGCATTCTCGGTACTCCGCTAACAGTGGCCGCCTCCTCACAGCCTGAGAGCTGGGTACGCGCAGTGATTCCCGGGGTGGGGCACTGGCCGGAAGCACCCGCCGGGCCCGCCCCCTGCCCACCGGATCCGGAAGCCGTCGACTGAGCCGGTATGTTTCCCTCCGCGGGGCGCAGTGCATCATGCTCCGTGGCCCTTGCCGCCTCTTCAGGGTTTCCGTGGCACCCGTCGCGGCCCTGGCTGTGGCGCTGGTCTCGTCGCTCTCTCGCTGCTCCCTCCTGGAGCCGGAGAACCGCGTGGTCTCGCCGCTCAGCCCCTACTTCGGCACCAAGACTCGCTACGAGGATGCCAACCCCGGGCTGCTGCCGGACCCCGAGGCGCCACGGCGGGACCCACAACTGCTGGAGGAGACCTGCACCCCGGTACAGCTGGTCGCCCTCATCCGCCACGGCACCCGCTACCCGACCACCAAACAGATCCGCAAGCTGCGGCAGCTGCACGGACTGCTGCAGGCCCGCGGGCCCGGGGATGACCGGATCCGCGCTGCCGGCGGCGGCGACCTGGGCGCTGTGCTGGCCAACTGGCCGCTGTGGTACGCAGACTGGATGGACGGGCAGCTGGTGGAGAAGGGGCGGCAGGACATGCGACAGCTGGCCCTGCGCCTGGCCTCCCTTTTCCCGGTCCTCTTCAGCCGAGAAAACTGCGGCCGCCTGCAGCTAGTCACCAGCTCCAAGCACCGCTGCATGGACAGCGGCGCCGCCTTCCTGCAGGGACTGTGGCAGCACTACCACCCTGGGTTACCGCCGCCCGACGTCGCAGGTGACCACCCCGGGCCGCCCAGCCAGTGCCCTGCCTCGGTCCTCCCCCAGATCCCGGACTTCCCCGATCCCAGCCTCTCCTTACTTCCTTCTGTCCCCAGCCCCCCATCCCATGGGATGTTCAGGACTTGGCTCTCTCCCTTATCCTCGTACATAATGTTCATTTTTTCATTCATCAGGGATGAGTTTGGCACCTTCTACGTGCAGGACGCTGTGGTAGACGTTGGGGGATCCAGTAGGAAGGGAGACAGGCCAGGGCAGTTTTTGATCACCCATTCCCAAAATGAATTTCTCCATCTGAGCACCAACCCCTCTCCCCTTCCTCCCTCTCTGGCGACTAGTTCTGCAGTTCGGCGCACTTCTTTTTTTTTTTTTTTAAATCTAGGACTTTTCTTCCTCAGGTTTTACTTCTGATACTAATACTATTTGGGTTTTGTTTTGTTTTGTTTTGTTTTCATTTAACAGCTTTTTCAGATATTAATTCTAGACCTACAACATATTTTGGGAAGTACTCTCAAATTTTCTTTACTGCTCTGCTTTTTTCTCTGTTTTGATTTTGCATGTACTATAGAGTTACTCTCCTTGTAGCTGTGGTCCATGGTCATGGCACAGTACTTTACTAATTTATTCCACTACCAATACTTTTGCAAAATTTGAGAGATCGTCTAGCAGAGCTCTTTTATTTCACAGGTGAAGAAGCTGAGCCTAAGAAAATGCCCTGCTGATTGTCCTTTCTTAGTTTGAGGCCCAGAATCCAGGTCTTCTGTTTTCCCTCAAATGATGCTTTTTCCTTAGAAAATATTTTAAAAGTCATATAATAATACTAGCAAACACTTAATGCTTGCTATGTGCTCTGCATGCCTCACATTTATTTCACAAAATCCTTACAACAGCTCTCTGAGGTTGATTGTATTTCCCCCCCTCTTAACCGGTGAGGAAATTGAGACGTAGAAACACTAATTTGCCTAATTTCAAATGAGTAGGTATGAACCCAGGAAATCTGATTTAGAGCTTGGTCTCTTAACCATTACACTGTACGTACAGCTTCCATTTGTCCTGTAACTTAAGGATAAGAATGAAAACATGACATTTTTGTGCCAGAGAGATGAACAAGTGTTAATACTTTCTTGATCAGCTTTAAGGTCAAAGTTGAGGTGAGGCATCATTTAGCTTTAAAAAGCCCAAGCAAAAAATAAATTAGAAGTAGATTGGTTTGTCATTTCTCTAATAGCATTCTCTCTTAAGCCGTTCAGCCATCTCCAAGGGGTTCTTCCATTGACTCTGTCATGTGTTATGACTCTGTCATGACTCTGTGAGTAACTCGGTTGGCTGACTTGTGTTCAGTCACTTGTTGAATCATGCTTTTTAATATAGCTAGACTTTTTTCCATTGATATGAGTGAAGATTTCCCACAAATCTGTTAAATTAACTGAATGTTGAAAGCAGAACATACTTCAATATAGTACTATATATGTATATAGTGTATACCAAAAAGGGACTACTGGACCTTCTGGGATGAATGAATTTTTGCCCTTAGATGGATTATGAGAATGGGCATTTGCCAGCCGTGGATCAAAATAGTTCAGGATAAGCCATCCCTCACCATTTTCAGTATCAGAGATTAAACCCTTTGCTTAGCTGCTTCATTATTATCTACAGACAATTGTTTTGCCTGTTGTGTACATCTAGGCTTTGGAGGGAAGCCACTGAATTGGATTTTGTATTCTTACAGAAACAGAACAATGCCTTTGTTTCTATTTAAAGAATAGCAGTAATTAGATAATAGCAGGGATGAATTATCCAGATCCACTTAGGAAATTTTGAGGCCACAGAAAAAGATGACAAAGATTTTCCTAGTAATTTCTTAAGAACTGTAATCTGATTACCAGTTAAAATTGGCAGAATTATTCATTTCAGGAGCTCCTGAAATGGATACACACACACATACATATAAATATTTTCACATACACATCTGAAGCAAAATGGTATAACTAGGGATAATTTTCTTATTTTAATTACAGAAATAGTATACTTGGTGTTCTTTTCATGGTAAATTATTGGAGAAATGATGGTTGGAATCTGTGTATTTTTAAATATGACTCTGAGAAAACTTAAAAGGCACCCCAGTAGCTGAAGCATGATTACGAATGCTTTTCTAGTATGTATTTGTTACCGAATTGGGGAAATAATGTTAACACATAAAATTCTAAATGGGAAGTTATTCTGGAGCTTCAGTTAGAAAATAAACCGAATCAGAAGCATCTAGCACAATGAAATACAGAAGACCTGAAACTTTAATGTATTTTGTGCTATTGTCAGTAGTTTTTGTCCAAAGCAGTCTTTTGTAAAGGAACACAGGGTTGAGAAACTTAATTGAGAAAATAAAATACTCTATTTAGACTATGGCTTAGAGTAGTAAAACAGAGCCTGTCTGTTGAATTCTCTCTCACTTTGTAATTAGAAACGTTGCTCATTTTTAGGTTGTTTTCTCAAATTTTCTGTGCCTGATGGAAACAGTACTTAGGTAATAGATTTTTACACTTTTTATGACATTCATATCTAATTATTTTTGTTTTCTTTAAGAAAACATTCATTTCAGTTACCTTTATTTCATAGTGTAGTATTGCTCTAACATTTTATTTTATCTTTGATATTTTCTGTTTCTTTAGTCTTTTTTAGCATATCCTCTCATGAGCTAACAATTATTACAAATGGGGAATAGTTTTGCCCTATGTCTTTCTTGAGCAGTGTGTACTTATTTCAGACATGTCAATGAATAAATAGGTTTTTAGGGTTCCTTTTTACACTTGAAACAAAATTTTCCAATAATTTGGAATTGTCATTCGTGTCAATGGATACACACACACACACACACACACACACACACACACACACACACACACACACACACACACACACATATACACACACAATTATTTTTTTCCCTTTCAGACATGGAGTGTGGACCTCCAAGAATTAATGATAAATTAATGAGGTTCTTTGATCATTGTGAGAAGTTTTTAACTCAAGTGGAAAGGAATGCTACGGCTCTTTATCATGTAGAAGCCTTCAAAACTGGACCAGAAATGCAGAACATTTTAAAAAAAGTTGCAGGTATTTTGCAAGTGCCAGTCAACAACTTAAATGCAGGTAATGTGCCTATTGTCTTGCATTTGAACTCTGAAATAGTTTAAGTGGTTTTTAAACTCTGAACGTGGAAAAATATGGAAGCATAAAGTTATTCCTTTTAAAGGACCACAATTGATTTTACGTTGAGAAAATAATGTGTTCTAGGTCAAGAAAATTCTATATCTCATGCTTACTATTCTTAGATTCAGATTCTTCTTTGAGTTTTATGTAAATTAATACACAAGACTCTTGATGTATCCTGGAATTTTTTGTTTTGTTTTGAGGGCAAAGTTATATAAAGCTTCAACTCTAAACATTATTTATAAAACAAAAATTATCTTTTTCTGAATTATCTCCTCTTAAAGTGATACAAATGGAAAGTCATATAAATTCTTTAGCTTTTAAAGCAGTTCAGAAGTACATGTTAATGTTTTGAGAGAGGTTAAGTTTTTAAAAAGTAGTGTGATTTTTTTTTTTTTCTTTGGAGCTTTTATACCTAGAGATGCTGAGAAAATGAGCAGTCATGTATGTCATAAGCTATTGCAGTGGATGGTAGACTGTGCCACCTGGGACACTTTAGGGTGAAAGGAAACACTATTAATAATTATGCTGGGAGAGCAGGTGGAAAACCAAGGTACATGGTTACCTAGCAATGAGAAATTAAGAAAAAATAATAAGATTTTTTTTCCTGTTTTCTAGGAATGTATAATCCATACAGCAGATATTGACAGATATATAGAGTGTGATTTCATTATACTGTGAATAAATTTCCAAAGACTAGAAATAGGAGATGTTGGGAATAAATTAATTAGACTAGAATATGTCAGTCCTGGTGTCTGAATGCTTTATAAGGATCAAAAAAGTGAAGATGCCTAGACTAGCATCTAAAATTGAGTTTTTTCTCTTTTCTTCAACTGGCTATACATTGGGGTCGTTTGCAGAGCTTTAAAAATTATTTTATTTGGGAAATAATTCAAGTATATAGATAATAATAAAGGCTAATATAATGAGTATCTGTATACCCACAACTTAGTTTGATCAGATTTTAACATTATGCTTCACTTAGTTGCTTTAAATAAATTGAGGGTCCTTTGTCCCTCTCTAGGATCTCATTCCTTTCCTTTTCTCCCAGAGGTAACCATTGTCATGAATTGAACATTTAAGTCATCCCATGCCGGTTTTTATATTTATGTTTCTATGACTAAATGGGGCATTTTGCAGATTTTTAAACTTTTAGGAATGGTATCAAACTATGGTATCAGTCTGAAATTTGATTTTAATTCAACTTTGCATTTTTTTAATTTAATGTGTGTAATTCTAGTTCTGCATTTTAAACTTATGTACAGAATCCCATTATATAATACCAGCATCTAGCCATTATTCTGTTAGTGGGCATTTAAGATTGTTGAAGATTTTTTAAAAAACATTATTTCTAGTCTCTGACTTGACAAGGATTATTTGTATTTTACTGATGGGGTAACTGAGAACAACTTTTTTTTGGAGGCAATATTAGCATAGTGGTTAAAATCATGGGTTCTGGAATTGGACTGTTTGGAATTCGACTATTCGATTCTTGACTTTGTTATATTATTGACTAACTCTGTGATCTTTGGCAAGTTCCTTAATATCACTGTGCCATAGTTTCTTTCTCTGTAAAATGGATATAGGAATTGTACCTGCCTCACAGGATTATTGCAAGGATTATATGAGATTAATTCATGCAAAGCATTAGCACAGTACGTGGCACAGAGTAACTGTTCAAAAATATTTTAGCTATTTAAATACTTTTTTTTTTTTTGCATAGAAAGGTGATGCTGTATGTATTTTCTGTAACTTATTTTTACTTAGCAATGTATCTGTCTCATTTTTTTAAATTCTGTTATTTTATAGGATATATATGATTACATTTTTAGGTAAATGATAGTTAAAAATTTATTTAACCCATCATCAAGTTTTACTGGTCAGAGAGGCTGGAGCTAATACAGTCCAAATTCTTTATTTTATAGGAAATTACATTCCTACTAAGCTTTTTCTTAGTTTTTAACTCTTTCAAATAACGCAACAGTGGACATTCTTATAGTCTGCTTTTTGCACTTGAGAGTTTATAAGATAACTATAGGTAGAATTGTTGGGTTAAGGTGCATGAATATTTTACATCTTAACATATACTTCCAAATTGTTCTCTGAAGGTGTAGAAAAATTTATATCAACAATATGTGAGAATGCTCATTTCCCCCAATTCATCCGACAGTGGATATTATTAGTCATTTTGACTTTTGCCAATTTAATTAATGAAAAATGATATCTAGCTTTAATTTGCATTTCTTTGGTTACTTGTAAGGTTGAACATCTTTTCATATGTTTATTAGCTATTTCATTCCTTCTGAGGATTGCCTCTTCATAACCTTGGCCATCTTCTATTGGATTATTTTTATGTTTTTTCTTATTGATCATAGGTACCCTTTATGTGTTATGGATATATTAATTATATGTCCTTTGATATTGCTTGACAAAAGAATAAATCCTTTACCTATTTTGTGTTGAGACCCAGGAAGCCTAGAGTGACTTACCCAGGATAATTAATGTCAGAGTCAGGTCTCATAGTGTGATTTTTCCCTCTTTGTTTCTCTCCTTCTTGACCCTTTGCTTCACCTTCCTCCTGACTCCTCAGTCTGCCTTTTCTTTGTTCTTTACCTTTTGCAGTCTTCTCTTCTTTTTTATATCCTTCTCTGTACTTGCTTCTTCTTAATAGTTATAATGTGAATTGTGTAGTTAAAAGAACTGTTCAATAAATGTTCTTTGTCATTGCTGACTTTCAAGTTGGGGACTAAAACCTTTTATAACTTTATCTCCCCTCCTCTAATCCTCTAAAAGTAACAAAATCAAGTTATGTTTTATGTAGTAAGTCCTTGGCATTCTATAGATATTCAGCCTTTGGAAAACTGCAGGAAATAGTAACCTACAAATTTTACCTTTTTTTTTCTCTCAGATTTAATTCAGGTAGCTTTTTTCACCTGTTCATTTGACCTGGCAATTAAAGGTGTTAAATCTCCTTGGTGTGATGTTTTTGACATAGATGATGCAAAGGTAAGTATTACTTTTGCAGTTTCTTTGCTTTTTTTTTTGCATGGTTTTCATTGTTGTCTTTATTTGAAGCAGCTTTTCAAAAAATAAGCAGAGTAGGGAACATTAAGTGCCTTTGACTATCTTGTAATTTTCCTTAAAAAGAGAGATTAATTGTTCAGATAGGACCTACCTACTTGTAAATAGTTTAGGCTCATAAAACTCTGGAAAACATTCTTCCATTGTGATTTGATTTCTAGGTCCACCCAGTTAAAAACCTACTTAACCCATCATCAAATTTTACTGCTGGAAAGGATTATAGAGCTAATATAATCCAAATTCTTCTTTTTATCGGAAGCCAAAGCTCAGAGAGGATGAATGGTTTTCCAAATACCTATTCTTTTATAAAGTTTTCATAATAAATAGAGTTCTGTTTTCTACCCAGTGATGGCAGTGATTCATCTTGGTTCTGCCTGGCTACTTTGTATTCCCTTTCTTTCCTCTTCATTCATGTTGTTTCTTTGTAGACTTTTAGACTCTAGAGAGAGAAGGGCAGACAGAGCTCTGGTGACTGTAAAGGAGGCAAATTCTGGTCAAATCTGGGATGCTGGGAGCCAGAGAGTTGGGGTAGGAAGGTGTTAATTGTTTTCTTAAGTATTGAGGATCAAGGCATTGGATAGAATTCTGATGGATGAGAGTAAGATGTATCTTTATGTATGGGTCATTCAGAAATACAGACTTTAGAAACTTCAGTCATCCCTTGCATACATATGGAACCTTCAGCATTCTGTATGAAAATCAATTACTAACTTCAGAATTTAACCTCAAATTTTTGAAAAGAAGTGTACTATTTGTCAGTTAGAAGCAAGCTTTTAAGCTGAGAGCTAATGTACATTTGAAAGTAAAACAAGTGCTTTATTTCGTTAATTAAAGACTAAAGTGACCAACAACCAGATTAAAGGTGATTTTTCTGTAGTATTATGCCAATGCAGATGTAGGGCTTAGCCGGTAAGTTGGAAGAAGGGAAAAGAGCCCTCGATGGATGCTTGCTCTAGGATGCTGAGCGCCAGAAGTAATAGGTGTATGTATTTCCTCTCGGTGCTCCTGAATTGCTCCCTGATGATCTACTTTTTCTCTGTCTCAAGTACTCAAAACACTTCTCATCTCCTCTAAGTGTCCATAACTATCACTTCAGAAACATCCCGGCCTACCCTTCTTTGAAATACTCTGTGCTTAGGATGATCATAAAATTTATGTTCTAAATTGAGTACTTTATTTTTTATAAATTTATTTATTTATTTTTAGCTGCGTTGGGTCTTCGTTGCTGTGCACGGGCTTTCTCTAGTTGTGGCGAGTGGGGGCTACTCTTTGTTGTGGTGCGCGGGCTTCTCATCGCAGTGGCTTCTTGTTGCGGAGCACAGGCTCTAGGCACGCAGGCTTCAGTAGTTGTGGCACGCGGGCTTCAGTAGTTGTGGCTCGCAGGCTCTAGAGTGCAGGCTCAGTAGTATGGTACATGGGCTTAGTTGCTCCACGGCATGTGGGATCTTCCCGGCCCAGGGTTCGAACCCGTGTCTCCTGCACTGGCAGGTGGATTCTTAACCACTCCACCACTAGGGAATCTCCTAAATTGAATACTTTTAAAAGTGAAAGGGGAACCAGTAATAATTACACCAGTATAGGTGTAAACTGAGACTTATGGTCACCATTCACTTGTGTCAAAATTCCTCACCTCCCTTTCCTCCCTGCCCAGATTGCTGTAGGGGAAAAGGCCAATAAACAGAATTGAAGTGATTTTCAGTATTGTGTAAATGACTGAGGGGTGTGGGCAAAAGGGAAATTTACTTTTTAACAGAAGAACAACTTATTTGCCCAAGTTACTACAGTTGTTGGAATATTTGGCATATGCTTACCTGGCTATCTGCCCTTTTTGTATTCTGAGTAGCTATATCCATGTGGTCCCTTACTTCCAAAGACCGACAACGCTGTGCTTTTATTTCCATATCGTAAAAGATGGAACTATTAGGTGACTTAGATTCTGTGCTACTTGTTTTTCTTTTCCTTTTATTTTTAGGATTACCCTTTTATCTCTTTATTGCATATGAACTTCTCTCTTTTTTTCCCCACAACTTATTTTGAAAAATTTCAAACTGACAGAAGTTGTAAGAATAACAGAATGAACATTCATGTCCTTCACCTACATTCACCAGTTTTTAACCTTTTTTGCCACATTTGTTTTTCTTTCTTTATAATCTATTAGTTTCCTATTGCTGCTATAACTGCTATAACAGTAATAGTTTCCTATTACTGCTAACTTAGTGGTTGAAAGCAACACAAATTTATTATCTTACAGTTCTGGAAGTCAGAAGTCCAAAATGAATTTTACAGGGCTAAAATCAAGGTATCAACAGGGGGCTGTGTTCTCTGGAGACTCTAGGGGAAAATCTGTTCCTTGCCCTTTCCAGTCTCTAGAGCCCACCTGCATTCCTTGTATCACTATGACCACGGCTTCATTGTTATATCTCCTACTGTGTCCTTCCTGCCTACTTCTTATAAGGATCTTTGTGATTATTGGGCCCATCTAGATAGTCTAGGATAATTTTCCATCTTAAGCTCCTTAACTTAATCACATTTGCAAATTCCCTTTTATCATGTAAGATAACATATTCATTGGTTGTAGGCGTTAGGATGTAGACATCTTTGAGGGACATTTATTCTGTCACATATATATGTAACCTTTTTCTTCTAAACATCAAGACACTTCACCCTTAAATACTTGGACGTACATCTAAACAAGAAACTTCTCCTACATAATCATAATAAAATGTAAATTTACATATGCATATATAGTACAGTATTGTCTAATATACAGTCAGTATTTGTGTTTTCACACTTGTCTTAATAGAATCCTATATTTATAGCTTTTATTTTAAAAAAATATTTAAACATCTTTATTGGAGTATAATTACTTTATTACGGTGTGTTAGTTTCTGCTTTATAACAAAGTGAAACAGCTATACATATACATATATCCCCATATCTCCTCCCTTTTGCGTCTCCCTCCCACTTTTTTTTTATTTTTAAATTCAGGATCTAATCAAGGATCATTCATTGTATTTATTTGTCATGCCTTTAGTTGCCTTTAATCTAGAAGAGTGTTCCAGCCTTTCTTTTGTCTTTTATACACTGGCATTTTGCAGGCATCTAGGCCAGCTTTTTTGCAGAATGTCTTTGTGTCTGTTTTTTCACTTAAGATTAGATTGGGGTTTAAACATTTTTGACAAGAATACTATATAAGTATTCTTATATAGTGTGTCTAATCAGAAGGAATGATGTCAGTTTGTCACATCACTGATGATGATATGTTTGATCATATGATTAAAGTGGCACCTTCCAGATTTCTCCATTGTGTAGGTACCTTTAAACAACTTCTCATATTTTTTTTGAACTTTATTTATTTTTTATACAGCAGGTTCTTATTAGTTATCCATTTTATACATATTAGTGCACATATGTCAGTACCAATCTCCCACTTCATCCTACCACCCCCACCCCCCACCGCCACTTTCAAAGAACTTCTCATTTAAATGACCATGATTTGAAAATTTGAAATACATGTTTAAATTAATTGAATAAGAGACTTTCTTTTTATATAGTAAAAGCAAATAAGTTAGATTCTTCATTAAAAAATATAAAGTTTTCTTTTTTTTTTTTTTTTGTGGTATGTGGGCCTCTCACTGTTGTGGCCTCTCCCATTGTGGAGCACAGGCTCCGGACGTGCAGGCTCAGCGGCCATGGCTCACGGGCCCAGCCGCTCCGCGGCATGTGGGATCTTCCCGGACCGGGGCACGAACCCGTGTCCCCTGCATTGGCAGGCAGACTCTCAACCACTGTGCCACCAGGGAAGCCCTAAAGTTTTCTTTTGATTTAGATGTTTCCTGTGATTTTTTTTTTTTCTTTTTCAGTAATTTGACACAAAAATCTCTGCTTAGGACTTTTCACTATGAAATAGGTTTACATTCTGAAGTATTTACAGATGCAATAAAATGATGTCTGGGATTTGCTTTAGCATAATCCAGTGGTGGTGGTAGGGGCATAACTGAAACAGAATTGGCCAAGTGTTAATTGTTGTTGAAGTTGGATGAGAGGTACGTGGGGGTTCATTATGCTCCTGTTCTCTATTTTTATGTTTGAAATTATTTATTAAAAATGTTTTAAGGGGCTTCCCTGGTGGTGCGGTAGTTAACAATCCATCTGCCAATGCAGGGGACATGGGTTCAAGCCCTGGTCAGGGAAGATCCCACATGCCGCGGAGCAACTAAGCCCGCACGCCACAACTACTGACCTGCGCTCTAGAGCCCGCGAGCCACAGCTACTGAAGCCCGCGTGACTAGAGTCCGTGCTCCGCAACAAGAGAAGCCACCACAATGAGAAGCCCGCGCACGGCAACGAAGAGTAGCCCCCGCTTGCCACAGCCAGAGAAAGCCCACGCACAGCAACGAAGACCCAACACAGCCAATATAAATAAATAAAATAAATTAATTTATAAAAAAAAATGTTTTAAGAATTAAAAATGAATAGAAATGTATGAAATTCTAAGAATTCTGGATATTATTAGATATCCAAGACCTTATGAAATGCTGGTCCATCTGTGCCTTCATTCAGCAAATATTGTTTGAGTGCCTGCTCCATGCCAGGCACTTGGTTGAAACTGAAGATACTAACGTAAGATAGGCATTGTCCTCAAAGAATGTCACAAGGAGTGAAAGACAAAAAAACCATTGCAAGACAATGGGATGGCTATAACAAGTATATATAGTGTATAGTGATACACAAAGGAGGAAGTTGATTAATGGCAGTCAGGTAAACCTTACAAAAGAAATGACACATGAACTATGTACTTCTCTGTGGGATAGCTTTTTGCAGCTTTGTGTCTATCTTCTGTAACAAGTATATCTAGATTTTCTATCTCATCTGGGGTCGGTTTTGGTATTTAATATTTTCTTGTAAAAGTCATTCATGTTCTC